GTAGAGGTCTTTATGTGTAAATCCAACATTATGATAGCCCCCATGCCTGCTGCGTTAAATAGTTCATTACTTGTGACGTGCCAACACCGACCTCTTTCAATGTTGTTGCCTCATCGATATCAGCCTTACTTACAGCTCTATTAGAACGCATAAATAGTGTCATAGCAGATGTGCACAATGCATGATTATGTTTCTGATCAGACTTACTTATAACCCACTGATCGTTTGTATTTGTTGCTGTAACTACGACTCTAGCCTTACATCATGTTCTTGTGACTGGCGTATGAGCACGTTGACGATCAACAGTATTGACTTTTGATACTCGAAACCCTTCTTTGGAACAACAAAATTCTTGTGTCTTCAAATTCCCTTCCACGTCAAGCCGTGTTGTTCCCTTACGTGCACTAAACCCATGTTCCCGTGCGAATCCCTTGTAAAAGTGCCAAGCTTGATCACGTGAACAGAAGAGCTGACCAACCAATCTGTCAGATTCATCAACATTATGTACTTCATGGCATTCCTCGGTTGGCTTAACATTGTCTACATCAGTATTATCCATGGCAAAAATTTTGTTGTGCAAGTTCAGTGCTCCAGGAGTTGATGGAGATGTAAGCAAAGGTTCATTTTGAACATGTTTCAGTCGTGCTGCTTTCAATAGGATGTGGCATTGGTAGTGGTAGTTAAAGGGTGGGTACACCATTAAATTCGCAGTACATATTTAGGTATGTACAATAACTACAAGTATATATTATCATTAAATTTAGGTATGTACAATAACTACATATTTAGGTATGTTTGTTAACTACATATTTAGGTATATACATCTTTTGAGTGAGTTTTAAGATATTAATTTAGTAATTATAGGCGTCTAATGATTTATTTTTTATGTTACGGTATATATTATTATTAAATTAAAAACAATAAACATATATATTATATATTTATTATTATCTTTGGTTAATGTTGTTAAATTTAAATTATAAATATTATTTTATAAAATATCAAAACAATCAAATAATTTTTTGTGTAAATGAAATTATTAAATTAATATTGTAGGTGGAAAACATGAAACACTGTTAAAAAAATTGAAACATAAATTACATAACTTTTAAAAAAAGTATCGATCCTTTTTATAAAAAGTATGGACACTTTCAATATAATAGGTAAACATATGATGTAATAGGTAGCGCTTATATAATGTAATATGTATCGTTTATATAATGTAATAGATAGTGGTTATATTGTAAAGTATCTATCATTTTTATAAAAGTGTCCATACTTTTTTCACTGTGGAAAACATTAATTTAAGGTTATCTTTTGAGTGAGTTTTAAGATATTAATTTAGTAATTATAGGTTTCTAATGATTTATTTTTTACGTTACGATATATATTATTATTAAATTACAAATTCTAAATATTATTTTATAAAATATCAAAACAATCAAATAATTTTTTGTGCAAATAAAATTATTAAATCAAATTACTTTATTCCAACCATGTGACAAGTGTGACAACTCCATCAACTCACAACTCAGCTTTGAACTCAATCAATATTGTATTTTAGCTTGATGGTTCATAAAGCATGTTACTTGAACAGTATGAATCAATTATGCAATTTTCATGTTCAATTTAACACTGCATTTCAAATTCATTTCATATGTAATTGGAGTTTGAATTTAAATTTCAATTTGAGTTTGAATTTCAATATATATTTCGGCTCCACTATAAATATTAGCCCAAGCCAATATGCATGTTATCATTGATTATTCCTAATTTCCATTGTTTTTTTCCAACGTTTAAACGCGAGGGAAATCCCGACCATTGTATTTTTTGGTCAACTTTAAAGCGTCAGAAACGTTTCGGGCGTATGATCTGGGTGGTAAACAAATAGCAACTAAAATCATAAGTCCGAAATGCTTCTGAGTACCACCCAAATCATAAGTCTGAAATACTTCCGATGCTCATCAAAATCCAAAGCTCATATGGTGCCAAGCAAAAGGAAATCAAAATTCAAATCTCATATGATGCCAAGCAAAAGGAAATCAAAATCTACAACTTGAGTTTGAACATTGATATGATATGTTCAGTTGTTATCATGTTGGGATTTTCTCGTTTTTGATTGCTTGGATAGTTGTTCTCTTGCTTCTTCAAGTGTCCTTAGCTTGTAATTTATAGCTTGGAATGTGTTTGATGTTGTATATATTATTATTAAATTAAAAACAATAAACATATATATTACATATTTATTATTATCTTTGGTTAATGTTGTTAAATTTAAATTATAAATATTATTTTATAAAATATCAAATAATCAAATAATTTTTTGTGTAAATGAAATTATTAAATTAATATTGTAGGTGGAAAATATGAAACACTGTTAAAAAATTGAAACATAAATTACATAACTTTTAAAAAAAGTATCGATCCTTTTTATAAAAAGTATGGACACTTTCAATATAATAGGTAAACATATGATGTAATAGGTAGCGCTTATATAATGTAATAGGTATCGTTTATATAATGTAATAGGTAGTGGTTATATTGTAAAGTGTCTATCCTTTTTATAAAAGTGTCCATACTTTTTTCACTGTGGAAAACATTAATTTAAGGTTATCTTTTGAGTGAGTTTTAAGATATTAATTTAGTAATTATAGGCGTCTAATGATTTATTTTTTACGTTACGATATATATTATTATTAAATTAAAAATTCTAAATAATATTTTATAAAATATCAAAAAATCAAATAATTTTTTGTGCAAATGAAATTATTAAATTAATATTGTAGGTGGAAAACATGAAACACTATTAAAAAAAATTGAAACATAAATTACATAACTTTAAAAGAAGTATCGATCATTTTTATAAAAAGTATGGACACTTTCAATATAATATAATGTAATAGGTAAATTTGCAATACTATCGGTATAAATATACCGGATTACTTATAAAATAGGTAAATATAAGCGCTACATATTACATTATATAAGCGCTACCTAGTATGTTATTGTACTTTATAATATTTCTGGTTAAATAATATAACATAACCGGTATAAATTTTAACCGGTCAATTGTTTAACCGATCACGCCGTATATTAACCGTTTTTTAGGCGCCGCACCACAGAACTACCCACAAAATAGATGGCGTGGAGACCGATGCTTTTGATGTATGCATCTAACAGTGTCAAGAAATTTCCAAAAATACAAAAAAGATTCCAATCAGTAGCCTGATTAAATTATTAAATAAAAGTATTTTTTAATTAATTATTAATATCAGAGATTTAATATTGTAAGAGTGATTCTTCTAATATAGTTTGTTTCATTCACAATGTCAGGATTAAAACTCCTGACTTTGCTTAAGAAATATATTATTTTATTATATTATACTAGTCGGTTGTTGGTAAATAATAACAAAAGCATTATTTATTGACTCCTCCGTTTTATTTTTGTTTGTTAGCCTGATATTAAGCATTTCAAAATCCATTCACTATTAATTATACTCGTTTATTAATCAACTTCTTCTAAACTTTTATGGAATCCAGCTTGGCGATTAGCATCGGTAAGAGGCGGATATCATAATTTTATGTTCGAAATACGAATTAAGAAAATTATATTAAAAATTTAATTGGTTTTGTAATTATAAAATTTTAAAATGTGCGAGATTAGACCATTAATAAAAGTTATAGAAAAATTATTTAAATCATATGAGAATTTAAAATTTTTAAAGATATGATTGTATTCTAATAACTCTTGATCCATCGTGATGTCAGTAATGGGATTAAGCTAGTCACAATCTGTTGTCTTTCATTAGTTGAAAATGGGTTTTCATGCCTTGTTATAGTCCAATGTACACCCAAGTCCCAAAGAACCATTTGTTTTCAGACAAAAACATAGAAGTTAGAAACGAAAAGAGGATGGGCAACCTGTTCTGTTGTGTCCAAGTGGACCAATCTACGGCGGCCATAAAGGAAAGATTTGGAAAGTTTGACGAGGTACTAGAGCCGGGATGCCATTGCTTACCGGTTGCCTCGGGAGCCAACTTAACGGTCATCTCACTCTCCGGTTACAGCAGCTCGATGTTCGTTGCGAGACCAAGAGGTCCAAGACTAAGGTTTGATCCATGTTTAACTCGTTAAAAAAACCAGGGCATAGTCCCTATTGTACTTATGTTTTCGACTCGAAATATCGTTGTTGCAGGACAATGTGTTCGTGAACGTCGTTGCGCCGGTACAATACCGTGCCTTGGCGGAGAAGGCAAACTATGCTTTCTACAAACTTAGCAACCCCAGGACTCAAATTCAAGCCTATCTCTTTGATGGTGTCACAAACAACTTGTGTTTGATTTAATATCCTTCCTTTGTTTCCCAATGGTACCTTAAGAGACTCAGATTTTTCTTCTTTATGTAGTTATCAGGGCAAGCGTTCCGAAACTGGATATGGACGATGTTCTTGAGAAAAAGAACGATATTGCTAAAGCCGTCGAAAATGAGCTTGAAAAGGTAATTGATCGAACTCAAAACAGTTTTTGATTCGTATATCGAATCGAGCTCGAACTTCTTACTATACAACCCTATTGATTTGAATTGTGATTTAATAGGCCATGTCTGCTTATGGATGCTTCAGGCATCTCAGCATCATGAATAAAAATGGTGGGACTCATGATCGCATAATTGATGTCTTGTAATAAAAAGAATTGCAGGTGAAAGCTTATATGGTATTGAAACCAGATATGGTTTAGTGTATGCAAGTGAATCCTATGTTCAGGTGCTTAGAGATATGAAATGTAATGTGACATATGTAAAGTTATTGGAAGTGAACTTTTCTTGTTACATTTAGGGTAAAATACACATTCAGTGTCCCAACTATCACTTTTGTTCTGTTTTGGTAACTCAACTATTTTTTTGTTTTAAATTTATACCTATCGTTACGTATTGGTTTCATTTTGGTCATCAGCAGTTGAAAAATTAATGGTGTCACCATAAAAATCATACCTAAGGTAATATCACCAATGAAAACAATTCTTATTAGCAAAAGAAAACAGTGAATTAAGGTTTACAAATTAAACGGTAAGAAACTGTTTATTATTTGCAGAAAATGTTTAAATGGAAGCTTGATCAGTCCCCCAACCTGAAGGACAGAAAGTTATCACATATTCTTTTGCGGCACAATTCACCAATGGTGGAGGCATTTCAAAGGCATAGCTGTAATAATAAGGGCAAGCTTCCTTAAATATCTTGGAATACAAGCTCGGCTTGCATTTTTCCGGTGACCCATATTCGTTTCGGCAACAAAACGAGTCGAAGTCGAACGCCAAGCAAGCACTTTTGCAAGCAACAACTTCCCCATTTTTGTTAACAACTTGAAGCTCTTGAGGGCAACAGTTGTTCAGGTTTTTCAAGCAGCCTCCGATGGAGCATTTGGTTGAAAAAGGTTGTGTGCCGACCGAAACGGGAAGATTGTAGCCGTCGACCAGACTAACGTCGTAGAAATTCGGCTTGCCTTTATCACCTTGAAGTGCAACTTGGATTAAAGTGACCGGAGGTTTTCCTATTAGTCCATTGCATTGGAGCCTTCCATCACAGTCTCCGGTTTCACAAGCCGGTTGCCAATTCGTGTTGAACTTGCAACCCGTCCGTGCCCAAATTCGTCCGTTCCACGACCAGGGCACGTCGAACTGCCGCGTCTGGCCCGGAGGAAGATAGAATCCTCCGTTAGCTATCACCGGTTGGCCGGTGTTTGGGGCCGTTGCTGGCCATATAGGAAAGGGACATTTGTTGTGCACATAAAATGATACCGTATGTGCTAGTGATTGCCCTGAAAAGTTTATTTTCTTTCATTGAATTAAATATCGCTAGAACCATTTCTGTTATTAAACAAAATATAATTAATGTAGTGAAATTACCAGAAAACAGGAGCAGGAGAAGAACAGCAGCAACCTGCAGTGACTTCATATTTCAATTCAAATGAGAAGGAATACAAATGGGTTTGGAATTATACATCATTTATATATAATTTGGAAACATAACTTATTAATTTTAGATTCTGCTTAGATTGTAGTCTAAGGTTTGATGTGTCTATTAATCTTTGCAGACATGATGGTAATCTTGTCTTCAAGGAAAATCAAACAGCTTTGAAGAAGTTGACATTTGCTGTAAAAAAAAAGAAAAAAAAACTGTGTTAATCACTTATTTAATACGATATAACCATGCTGCTAAAATTCCATTGGTAATCTCCATAATAAAAGAAAATGTTATTCTTCTTAAAAGATTTAGGTTCAAACAGACGCGTCTATAAGATAGGTTTGTTGTCGATAAATTAAAAAGAAAATATTAACAGATACTACATTGTCTTGAATATCGAAGATAATCCACCCATTTCTCGACCACCACCACGGCTGTTGAAATAATCGAACACAAATTTGATATTTGTTTAAGATACGGTTGTTACCTCTCGGGACCGAAAACAAGAATTAGCAGCTTCATCTAGTTTAAATACTTTCTAAGTCTATCAATTTAAAAAAAATTAGATCATAATCTCTTAATTTTTAATTTTAATTTGATGTAACTCATGTGGAAATAATTATACTTTGAGTAGAAATAATGAACCTATTTGAGGGGATCCATTTTACCTTAAAAAAACTCATGCCAAGAACTTGCTCCAGGTTTTAACCGTTTGAAACAAACACGGCCTCAACCGTCTGTACTCTGAATAATATTGGCCTTTACTAAAATACTTAAGGTTTCGCAGTAATCAAAGATCCGGATGTTTTCCTTTAAAATGTTATATTAAAAATTTAAAGATACGAAATTAGATCATCAATAGAAAATACAAAAAAATTAAATTATATAAAAAAAATTTAAAATTTCCAAAGAGTGTGACCGTCCCTCAACAACCCTATCGCAGTCTCACTCCATCTTGGTCCATCCCTAACAATTCAAATGCAATTTTGTCTCAATGCCTCAAGCTCCTTATGGATATCACAGCATAACCAAAATCTTGTATAAAATGTTGTTTGAGCTTTTCTTTTCAGAATATCTACATCTGGCATGTATCTAAACATAGATATGACATATTCAAATATGTGTACGAGGATATAATGCTACAAAGTCCCCAAATACATGGAAAAACTTTTAAAAGGTTGAAGATATATGAGTCTGGTATGTGCCCATATCTAACAATCACACTCAAACCGACTAAAACAGACTCACATAGTACGTAGTCGATCAGCCATTCATCACTACTTTTACACCAGAAGCTAAAGCTCCACAAACAACAAAGTGATGCATAGATGAACGAAATATCAACTCAGATATGAATTGAAACTAAGTCATTTTCCAGCTCAAGCTACAAAAAGGGCTAAATTGAGTATCCTGTTAGTAGACTCGAGTAACTCATGAACCTAATTAATCCCTTTTTAATATTTATTTTATTTTTTATTAATACTGAAAATTATCAATCCAAACTTCAGCTCGAGCCTAAGAATTAAAAACCAAGTTTAATGTTGTGCATGGGAATCAAGCTAATTATTAATTAGGTAAACAAGCTTTAATCAACAAGCTCTAGTGGCTCGATCTTGAATTACTTCAACCTTCAAAAGTGAAACTCAATTGAGCTAAAAACAAGCTTTGAGCCTCGAATTTCAAGTTGAGTTTCAAGCTTCTAACATCTACAGCCCTGCAAAGCTCGATTAGACCCCTATGAACTGCTAACATGTACGAATGATGGATAACATTTACTGATTTTATACAAATGTGATAAACACATGTTAAATATTCTAAAGGTCAAAACTTTAAACTAAGCCGGCAAAAGCAGTACACATGAGGCAACCGGATCAAATCACCATTTCATAATGTTAAACATCAAAAAGAAAAAGAAAACCTTCACCAACCAAAACCAAAAGAGATGGATTCTTATTTTGAATGCAAAAGAGCAGGAAGGGTCATCAAATTTCCTTAGCATGAAACTAATCAATAAGACTATAATATTCTTACACTCGGGAAATTAAACATTTCCAGCATATACTATGCAAACATACTAATAGCAATAAGACTAGGAGGAATGTATAGAAATTGAAACCGATAACAAAATCTCATATAATGCTTGTAGAAAGAACAAACATAAGTAGGCTTATGGAACAATAAGTAGAATACATGAATACTTAAATGATTTGATAACATATTTTCCCAAAAAAAAAGTTCCCGATATGCTCTGCGTACCTTCTAAAATCCAAATTATAATGCATGGTGCATTCAATGTATGATTCCAAACATCCAAACCATGATAGCAAACTGATAAATGGTGTGAACCAAATTAAGAGTCTGATCATATGATTGCAAAACACATCCTCATCAATGCAATTTCCATAAATCTAGTGAACTAGATATATTCACAAAGGTAAAAGATTGATGAAAATTATGAGGGCAACCAGTTTTTAGTCCCATTCAATAGAGAATCTGGTTATGTAATGCTAAAATACAGCAGGTAATAAAATGATAGGATAATGAAGTAAGTTTCAAACTGACCTGTAAAATCAACATATTAAGTAACAACTAAGAATCCATCATTCATTGTTTGCAGCACGTCATGAAAAAAAAATTCATTTTGGAATTCTGACAAAGGGCAATAAAGAAAACACTGACACTGTAACAATGAGCTCTCCGAATATCATGGTTCAACAGCATTCCCAAGTTCAAATGAGAAATATTCACGAACAGGTGAAAACTCCACCAATCCAATGTCCATCGCATACCCAGAAACAGGCAACTTCAACTCTCTCAACACACAAAAAGCCTCAGCAATCCTTGTTTTCGGCACTTCCTGAGCTACTGCACAATAGGGAATCCAAGAATCGGCTTTGAACTCTTCCCCAATTTCGATCCCTTCCTTTTTAATTGCCTCACACAATTGAGCCTGGAGCTGTAGGAGGGCCATTGTTGGAACTGGTGCAAGAAAAATAACATTTTTATCATTTGGGAAAGTCCCAATCGAGGAAAAAGATAGAGGTAAAGGTCCTTGTTTGGAAGCAAAAGACTTTAGAATAGATTCGAGCTTGGGAGGGTCAAGAAAAGGGCTTGAAAAGAGAGTAATGTGAGGCCTGGACACGATTTCAATTAATTGAGTGGTGATTTGACGACGAGCCAGAACGTTCCATGCTTTCAAGACTTGGTTTTCGAGTGCTGGATCAAAGTAAAGCTCGATCGAAAAGCCTTGTGACATTGAATCTTTGCTGGAAATAAAAAAAGGAACCCAGATTTTGAAAGGGAGATGTAAGAGTAACCAAATATTGGAACTTTGAATTGGAATTGAAGTGACCAAGAAAGGGGGTATCACTTCAAAACCACTAAACGGAACATGCAAAATGAAAGAAACCCAGATTGGATTTGACTAAGTTACAAGGAAAATGTGAGCGAAGGAAAAGGAAATAATTTTTATGGGTAAATTATAAAGAGACGGAGTACTTCATTCCGATGATTATATTCCAATTTGTTTTGGGGAAAATTAAAACTAAATTAAATAGATTTAAATCTACGAAAGGTGTCTAATTTATGCTATTTTTTAATTTAATACATAACGTTTATTTCGTTTAAGTTTGTTGTCTAACGTTTCGTTCCGTTACTCATTTAGACATTCGGGCCATCAATGACTTTAATTTTTTTGTTAAGTGACACGTATCACAACTTGATAATTTTATTTTTTTTAAATTAAAAAAAATTATATATATTTTTTAAAAAAAGAAAACATAAATTTTGAAATAACAACAAAACTTTAAAAAATTTATTTCCAGCTAAACCGATGCCATCCAGCTCCTTTTTTCGTCGACGAAGCTCCACCCGACCTTCCCTTCCGTCGACGACTAAAACCTCCATAAAATCGTAATCGATCGACGGTCGATCAATCGTAAAAATCACGTGGGATCACGATTTTCATCATAAGGTTTACGGGTATAAAATGAAAATAGGTTGTAAAAAAACGATTTGATCCGAATATATGAAAAAATAATCGCATCCGTTTATCTGATTTTTCAATTTAAAAATTAATAAAAATAGAGTTACTATCTACTGTACCTGTAATAATTTTTTATATAAATATAATGAAAATAAGGGTAAACTACATCATTCGTCATTAAAATTTACTATTTCTCTTATTTCACTCATTGTACTTTTAGTTTTTTTCAATTTACTCACTAAACTTTAGAATTGTTCATGTGTTTAGCTTTGAATTAATTTATTCTTATTTTGATATGACATTTCATTTTTTATTATTTAATATAAAATAATTTAAAATATAAAATTAAACCTAGATGATGGTCGACGGTGACAAGAAAGGATGATGATTATTTTAAATCATTTTTTGATAGAAATATTGGTCTCGTTAAAACTCCTCTCGTACTATAGTCGTATCGAAATATAACCGAAATAGAAGAAGGGGGAAAGAGTGTCTAGAATAAATTAATATAAAAAGTCAAGCAATAATACATTAGAATTGCCATAGCGAAACTGCCAAAGCATAGAATAATAATAACAAAATAATTTGTAGTGACCAAAACAAGAACAATTTGAAAGTTTAGTGAGAAAATAAAAAAATTGAAAATACAATAAGTCAAGTAGAAGAGAGAGTAAAGTTCGGTGATGAATGATGTAGTTTACCCTTAAAATAATGAAAAATATTTTTTTTTCTTATTTTTAATCATAGATGATCAAAATAGAATTAAAATCTAATTTTAAGTATAATTTAAAAAAACATAATTAAATGATTAAAATAAAAATATATTAAATACATAGTTTATCCAAAAAATTAATGACAACAGCGCATGAACGGGCCTTGCCCCCTTATCCTAGAGGGATTATGCTGTGGGATTCCCTGGACATGAAAAAAGCCCAATGCAGAAATAAGAAACACAATGTTGATAAGTTACATTTTCCTTTAATTTTTATTTTGTTTTTGTATTTTGTACTTAAAAATGATAATAAAAATACTAATAATAAAATTTTATCCCAATTCACAAAACAAAAGCCTCAAGACCCAATAAATGCAAAAAAAAAAACACGACCCAAATAGTAAAGATTGAATAATTCGAAAGCTGAAGTCTCAACAGCCTATTAAGATCTGAAGTGTCCCAAATAGTAAAGTTGAATGCTTGTAAAATCCATTAAAAATGTTGAGACAGAATTGGATGTCTACAATTGAAGGGTGCAAAATAGGGAATATGGTCAAAGTGCATGCATGTATGCTATGGAGTGAGGATGAAAGGACAAAAAGGAAACACTCGGGAGTGGGAAAGAATATATTCTGATTTGGTATGTAAGTGGTTTGTGAGGTGTGTTCTTGTTGTTCTTCACATCAACTTCCACTGAGTTGGACGATTGGACTTCAAATGTTGACCCTAAACTATTCAAATGCCACTTTGCTTGGTCTTTAATCTCCATTTTTCTCTTTCCTGTTGTAGGTCATTGTCGAGTTTTGCAGTTCAGTAGCATTATAGGCCAGTCTCGGTTTGTAGGTGTCAGATGTTGAAGAACGATGCCGATTTGTATATCTATATCTATATATAATAATAATAATAATAATAAGCTGAAAAGGGAAGGTGTTGCTGTGTAGCTTAAACAAAGATTATTACCATTTCGTTGACTTTAGATTAAATGTTATTCATTCACTTTACCCCATACACCAGGCTTTTGATATCACCCTTCTTCTTTTAGGTCATCTCCATATGTTGTCTTAAAGCATGACATATTATGAAACAGTATACATATATATTTTTTGCAGGATCCTTCAGGACCAGACCCACCATCCTAATGTCTCCTCATGCTGCTGCTCCTGCTCTGTGGCTTCCGTGAACACATTGGAGAAGTAGCTGTGGCTGTCGTCGCTGCCGTCGTCTTCCTCCGAATGAACCCCATTGATAGGGCCAATGCATCTGGGGTATTCATCGCTCAGAAAGTAGGAGGAATCGCCCCTGTTGACTAGCTGCGGAGCGTCCTCGTCGACCACCGTGCTCCCGACGCTGCCGGTGCTCAGACGGTCCTCTACCTTCACACTGAATTGGAGGGCGGAAACCATCTCGGCCGGTAAGGACTCATACTTTTGACCTGTTATTGCTTCCGTTGCCACATCTTTGGCTTGTAGCTTTTCGGTCAAGGATGCTACCTATAATGGGCAATTAATATATGTCAATGTTGCAACCGTAGTGATTACATTTTTGGGCTGTAAAATATATACATATATTACTATGTTTTATACCAATTGTTTTATCTTCTAGTGGGGCCCTAAGCATACTTCTAGAAAGCTACTATGGCATATTCATCTTTTAATTTGCTTTCTTTTTAACCCGTCGCTTAAAACCATGTGGGGTTAGTAACAATGCTGCTTTATATTACAATGATATAAAAATATTAAATTTCAAATTATTAGTGGTTCAGTGACGAAAGAGATTTTTTTTTAATAGGTTTTATGGTTGTGTGTATAAGATATATATACATTATTAATAGACTATAAATATATTTAAACAAATATTATCTTATAATCATTTAAATTATTAAAAAAATATTTAGTCTTCGTGATTAGATGTTCATGTTTCAATTAAGCTTTACACGGTATGAACGGACCATACGTATGCGTGCCAGATGTTAAAAGGGTTGAAATGAGGGAGTACCTCAGATTTGAGCTTGGCATTTTCTTTGAGAATAGAGTCATAATTTGACTGAAGGGAATCAAGGGAAGATTTAAGGAGATCGTAATCCCTTTCAAGCAGCTTTGTCTTCCACCTCGCACGGCGGTTCTGGAACCAAACCGCCACCTGCCTTGGCTGCAGTCCTAACTTCTTTGCCAACTGGTTCTTCCTCTCCGGCTCCAGCTTGTTCTCGGACTCGAAGCTCTTCTCTAGCAGATACACCTTCACATCAAATGGTTCTCATCAATTTCCCTTATTTCCTCATATATCCCCTTCAACCTCTAGACCCCCAAAAATCCCTTTTTATTTCGGGTTTATTAGATGCCCTACAATCTCAATCCAACATCAAAAGAGAATTTGATTCTGATGTGCTGAATATTTTTCAAATCTTTAAAAGTGGTGGAGAACATGTTCCAGTTAGTATCATATGCTTTTTTTTTAGTTTTACTGAACAAAAAAAAAACATTTCATTCATCCTTTTTAAATTTTAAACATGTTATCTATATAAAAGTTCCCTTCATTAGAACTTATTAAGCCACTTGTAAGGCAGGATTCTTCTCCTGAAATTCTTGAGTTCAAACAATTATGTTGTACTCTGTAATATGTGCGTTATAATCACTAAGAGACTAGACTATTAAAAAATCACTTTCTTCATTAACCTGCTCTGACGTGAGACGACGCTTTTTCTCACGCAACTGCTCGTCGTAGTACTCCTCGTCGTACAAATCCTCCGGTGAACTGAAGAACAATCGCCTCTTTGTGTTTTCCTCCATGCTATGCATCGTTCTTGCTCCTTGACAAATGTAAGCCAAAAAAAAGTCAAAGAAATGATCCGATATCTATTTAAAATCCCAAACGGAACTTGTTTTCCACACATTAATAGCGACGAAAGTATTGTATTTGACAATATAAACATAAGACGACGAAGAGTAAATCACCTCGAAAGATGGGTTCAGTGTTCCCGAGAAACAACATGTTGCTGTTGCAGGTCGAGGGATTGAAAAAAAGACGGCCGGACTCCATCTTTATAACTTCTCTTATGTGTTGTATGTAAGTGTTTGTGCTAAAAACTCTTTAGCGACGGAATTTCGTGAGTAAAAAGAAACAAGTAAAGATTGTTTTGAACACAGAGATTAATTCTGTGTTTTACTTTTTCTATAAAATTAAAAGATCATGAGCTTGTGGCGAAAGAAACTAGTAGTCCACAGCAGCCTTGCTGGTGTCTCCAATGGGCAAATACAAGATCCCATCACACTCCCCCTTACCCTTTACTGTAAAAGACTTTAAAAATGGGGGGGATGAAAAGAAGAAGAGAAACTTTATTTGGAAAGAAAATTTTAGTAGCTCTCAAACGTCAAACCAGTTTTTTCCGACGGAAAAAACCTTTGAAGAAAGCGAAAGGATTATTTTCGTCGCCTTTTGTGTCGCCTCTGTAAGTTTTTTTTTTTTTTTGTAGCTAAAGGTCGTCGAGAGGAGGGGTAGGATAATTTATATTAATGTTGGAATTTCATAAGGACTAAAATACCCTTGTAAAATGATTCTTATAATTTTGAAAGAAAGGGTGTTTTGGTAATATAGAGTTATATTTCCTGACGCGGTGGTGGGCTAGTGGGGGGTGGACTTCACTAACTTGTGCAGTAGCGTAGCAGGTTTTGGATTAGATATGGACTGTTGGATTTTGAATATTTTTATTATGACGGTTGTGATGGATCTTGGGGACATAGTAAGTTGTGCCAGAGTGTTTAATAAGTCCCATGCTTTGCGGTTGGGGAACTGTCGGATCTAGTTGACTTCTATCTTGTTCCACTACTATTAACGGCTGTGATTTCAATGTTATTTTTTTGTTTCTTAATTTAGTAATTTGACCTTTAGCTCCTTAAATGTGTGATAATTATCATTATTAAGATGAGTATAAAATTAATTAATTTGCATTCAAATACACTCTCTCTAACTATACTTATTTGCTGTGTAATTTTTTAGATGAAGAAAAATGATAATTTTATTAAAAGAAAAAATATCTAAAATTATAAAAAAAATTATAATTATAAAAATTAAATATATAATTAGGAAAATTCCTAATATCAATTGCTACAAGAAATTAGTCAGTGAGATCATACAAATACCATACAAAAAAAATATTAAAAATACATCAAAAAATTTAAACAAAATATAAATACGAATGTGTCTAATTGTATTGGCAAACGAACCAAATCAAAGGGTCAAACTACTGAAAGATCACCGACATCTACATATCAGATTCGAGCATCACAAGAAAATTATCTCTAAACGCAAACAAAATATCCAAATACAATCAAAAAATTTAAACAAAATATAAATACGAATGTGTCTAACTGTATTGGCAAACGAACCAAATCAAAGGGTCAAACTACTGAAAGATCACCGACATCTACATATCATATTCGAGCATCACAAGAAAATTATCTCTAAACGCAAACAACATATCCAAGTACAATCTGATGGTCCAAAGCAAGGAAGATCAATGGAATAACAAATAAATACCATCTTGATTAGTCGAGACAATATCGAATATGACCTTGAGAAAAATTAAACAAGGGAACGATCAAAAGACCAATAAAGAATATTGAAAACATACTAGAAGGTAAAGGAAATCATATAATAAACGTAGATGAAAACGTGCTATAAATGCATAATTATTAAAAATTGTGTAAAACTAAAAGGTTTTGCACCTTTTTAGGATCGTTGGATGAGAAAAAAATCAAAAGTTGAGATTAAGAGTAGGAAATGAGAATATATTCACCGAAAAATGAGTTAATCTCAGCCTTTAATTTCCCCTCATTCAATGATATTAAAAGGGTATAAAACAAAAATCTTTATACTAGGTGTAAGTAGATCATAACCAATATATTTACAAGGGCAAAATCCAATTACACTGTGTAAAAATCTTTTAGTTTTATACTTTTTTAGGACTATTGAATGAGATAAATTAAAGATCGAGATTAATAGTATAAAATGAGAAGATGAAAAAATGAGTTAATATCAACTGTTGATTACCCTCAATTCAACAATCCTAAAAAGATGTAAAATTAAAAGATTTTTATACCGTATAAATGGATCTCAACCTCTATACAAGAAATGAACTAAAGGAAATGGGTCATAATCACGTGGTAGGGCTTGGAACTTTTGAAATGGATGGCTAATTCATGATGCCTTTTTTTTTATCAAAATAAAGTTTTTTTAATTAATTGATCAATAGAAAGCTGGATACTGTATAAATACACACATACAAACATATTTATATATTGTCGTTTTATTGTGATGCATTTCCATACACAAAACTTGGGCTCCAAAGTGCCAAGCACCGAAAAAAGCATATTTATTTAAAATCTCTTCAATATTACTTAAAGGTCTTTCTGAAGGAATAAAGCTCTTAATTTCATATAATTATCATTCATTTTATCTTTAATTTAAAATAAAATAACTTTTTTCTAATCATATTTATAAAAAAAAATATGTCAATAACATCACACCTTTTGAAAACAATATTTGCTTATGTAGTTGTTAACATATACCCATTTTCAAAGGTCTATTTGGCTAGGGATTAGGTTTGAAACTAAATTAAGTTTAGATTAAAAAATATTTTTTTTGTTAGTTTACCGAAATGAGACGCTAGATCTCTTAAACTAAAATTAAGAGATTGAATTCTAAAATTATAACTGAGATAAATTAAGTTGAAAGATCGCTTATATAATAAACACTACTACAATACATGTGTCGAAACGATTTTTAAACCGTGGCGAGGGTGATTTGGAAAACCACGTCATTTTTAATTATTCTCTTTTCAATTGAATTTTTAATTAAAAACAATGTGATTTTTAGAAAACCTCTCGTTTCGAAAATTTGGAAATCCCTTTACGATAAAAACATATGGTTCGAGGAGTCGCCACCAATCCTTGATTAGGGTGTGATTGGGCACCCAAAAATATTGTCATTTTAAATAAAAATTAATTTTAATTAAAACAACAAATTTGCGGTCTATGTTACCAAAATATGGGTTCGGGAGTCGGTTACGCGTGGAGAAGGATTAGCACCCCCACAGCGCCCTAAATCGGTACCTCGTCGATTAATTATTGTCTTTGCAACGAATTTTACAAGTTCGAGTTTAATTTGATTAATGATCCCTTAAAACCATAATAAATGCAAATTTTATAACACAAAAAAAAAAAAAAGCAACAAAGTAGGTTAAATTAAAATTGCCAAGCCATTAGAAAGATAAAGAATATTCGATTATTTACAAATATTGAGACCAGATCTTTAGGTGAGTTCTAACGATCTTTTCTCAAATAATTTAAATAGCCGAATATTTCTTTTTCTTTCATTCCCAAATTTTAAAGTGATTAATCCAAATTTAATTAGGCGTTACTGGTAGGATATACTTTTAATTTAAAATCGACAAAGCGGATATCTAATCAGTTAAGACAACCACTTAAAACAATTTTAAATTAAAAAGATATTACCCTTAATTAAATTATGTAAATACATCGAGTTATGCACACGAGGTTAACATACGATATTAAAAATTATCTAATTAATAAATAATATATGAAAAACTAACATGCACTAACATTACTTACATATAATATGTAACATACTAATGGGACTTAAATATGAAAAATAAAAACATAACATACCAAACTATACATGTTACACTAACAACCAAATCACATTAAACCGAACTTTAATATCCAAAATATAAACAAAATAATCATTGAAATGAACATACGAGTAGTACACATAGTAAACAATGAAACCAGAATAAAACAAATCATCACCATAATGGACTAAAATTATAATAAACCCTAAACATACATAGGACTAAAAAGAAACATGCAAAACATTCAAAGTCAAAAGTCTAAGAAACAGAAACTAAGTATATTACCACTCAGGACTAAATGCAACATGCAGAACACGAGGGTCAAATGTTTAAAACAGTAAAGATTCAACTACAACACAACATTTGGGACTGAAATTAAATACGGGTAAAATATGGAAACAAAATTACAAACATGCAAACAATGACTTATGGACCAAGATGCAACATCCGAAAATTAGGAGACAATATTAAAAACACAATAAAACTTGATTATGCCTGACTAGGGGACCGAAATGGAATGCGCGCAGAAAACAGAGTCAGAATTAGAAACTAGGAAAGCATCAGCTGAAACGACGACGTTTTGACTAAAACCTAAATAATATCTAACCTAAAACATATCAGAACTCTGCTAAGCCTAATTTCTTCCCCCCTGCGCCGTTCTTTCTCAACTCTCCAAACTCTCATCCTCTCATCTTCCTCTTCGAAAGCAACTGAGAAATTCAGAACAACCAAAGCCGGCCACCGCGGCCTCCATCCTCTCAACGACTCTGCTTCACGAACGGTGCTGCTCTAAACGCAACCCTACACGGCGGACTACCCCAACAGCCCTAGAAACTACGGCCATGGTTCGACGAAACCCGTATCTACCCTAGCCACCACTCACGACGGCCACCAAGGCCGATACCAAACCAGACCAAAACCTCTCTATACCGAAACCAACTGAAAACCAAGACCACAACCCCAGTCGTTTCACTCGTCCCTCTCTACTCTCTCTTCTCCTCAAACAACGCTGCCATGCTTTAAACGAGGACTAGACGCGCTACAATTCGCAACCCGATCTAGAGGCTCAAACCGCTAAGGTAAACTCAACTCCTATCTCTATTTACTTATTCAATTACGGAGTTAGCATAGAACGAAAGAGAGAAAAAAGATAATTAGAATACCTTAAAATCTTAGGTTCTGATTTTGATTGCTGGGTAATTCGTTCTTACATTCCTTTCGTTGAAACCCCTCTCCCCTTTTACATTTTCAAGCTGAAAAACCGAAAGCCCTTGATTCCCCTTTTACAAAGTAGTTTTTTATCGATTCCTCCTCTGTGAATGGTTCATGGCTTCCCCTGATGTTCGTTTCTCCTTGTTCTTTTTTTTTTCTTGTTTTTGTATGTTGCTGCCTACCATTCGTAATTGCCTCTGTTTTTTCGTTACTGCTCAATGGTTCTCTCCTCTCCTTGCTGGTTCCGAGCCCCTTGTTTATGTCTCTTTTCAGGTTTCAAAATGGTGCCCCCAGTCCCCTGTTGGTTTTTTTCGTTCTGTCCTCTCTGTTTGTTGTCTGTATCTTTTCTTTCCGTTGTCATCCCCCCTTTGTTGGTGAATTTTTCGTTCTGTTCTTGATGGGTCCTCCCCCGTTGTTCACTGCTGCCTCTCTTTTTTTCTCCTCCTCCCTCCTATTCGTCCCTTCTTTTTCTTCCCTGGTGATATATGGTTGCAGTTTTGCCCTCTGTCTCGTGTTTTGTTTCTTGTCATGTGTGTATGCAGGTCACGGGAACGAGCAAGTCACAGGCGGCAGCAGTGGGGAGCCGAGCCTTG